AATATTACTGACCTGTGGCTACACTTTACAAAGCAAGGCCCTAGTGCATTGCTAACATCTAACATTTCATAGCCAGAAGGAAGGCCACTCAGTTTCTGAAGACACTCTCTGATGACTAATGCCAACTGGCCCTAAGAAACAGGGAGGACATCTAAATTGGGCAACACCACAGGGCTCTCTTTCTGGCAAATTTTCTCTCTTCCAATCTGGAAAACTACTACTTGGAGACCAATCATGGCCTCCTTCACATGTCCTCTGCATCCAGTGCCCGAGTCCATGACAATCCCCTTCCCACTGGGCTGGGTCACTCAGGCTTCGCCACCTCCTTCTCATGCACATCTCTGTCTGAAGTTGTACAACAGGAGATGGAAAAAGTACAGTGAAACACATACTGCTCTGGTTGTCTCTAAAACTTAGTTTACTGGGAAGTGGACCAGCACGTGACACAGAGGCCTGCCTGCTATCTCCAGAGTACCCTGGAAAAGGTCAGGGCATTCAGCCAGGTCCACCCAGGAAGAACTGACAACATGTGATGCAAGGGAAGGAGGGGGCTGTACCAAGACCAGGGTGGACAATAAAAGCAAACCATCCCCAGCAGTGAATGCCACAGATGACTGCCCTAGGTTGTTTGCTGTCTGAATCTCAGTGCTCCCAGTTGGCATCTCCTCACTCATATTTCTCGGCTTGACAACCTATACCCATGGCCCACTTTTAATCTCTCCTTTGGCTCACTTAAATGTTAAGATCCCTCCAAATACCCTTCCCAGCATTTTTGATCCACTTCCCAATTTTCATTCATGTTTTATGGCGTTGCTCATACTTGTCATTTGAGAGTCCCAAGCCTTGGACAGTAACAGCTCCCTCCAGTCTGTAGCCCTGCAGACCCCACATCAGGCCACATTCAAATCGGGCCTCTTTATGCAGAAGAGCAGGGGATGGATTTAGGCAACTGGAGTTAGACTGAGGAACACCTCAGTTCATGGATTAGGTTGCCCTATGCGTCCTGAGGAATTGCTGAAGGTTATCAAACAGGGAAGGGGCAGTCTCATGATACTAGGTTATTTGAGTATGTTTTTCCAGGTTGATTCATTTTTAAGAGTATTTCAAGGCATCAACAATGAGCATGCCTCATTAAAAATCTCAGAGAGAACATTCTGCTCTGCTGCAGCCCCGGCCCTGGTCTCTGGGCTTTCATTGTGGCATTTCCCCTTGGGTAAATGTCATCTCTCCTCAGTTTATTTAAAGTTCATTTAGACCATCAAAGCAATAATAATCCCCAAAATAGAGGGAGATGCTCTGATGATCAATGGGATACATGAAAAGCACTTTTATACAAGAGTGAAAATGAAGAGGGTGGTGTTAATACAACACCCCACAACCACCCTCCCATTCACTCCATCAACCCACTTTGTGTTATTTCCTTCAAGACCTTGCCTAAGGTATTTTTCTTCTGTGAAGCCATTCCTGACTAATCTACCACATCTTGATACAGGAAGAACTTCACATTTAAAGTAAGGAGGTGGCATGGGATAGACTTTGGAATAAGGCAGGTAAATATCTGAATCCCAGATCTGCTACTTACATTATGAAGATCAAATTTATCATCTGTATTATGAAGCTATTAATATGGTGGTATCACTAGTGACATTTTTTTAACCCAATGCCATTTTCTCACTACTTTCTTGTTAAGACAACCCAGATTTATTTAAATGTTGAGTTAAATATTTATTCAAATATTAAGATTCCTGGATCTCATGGAAGGCGGATCCAGCTCCTTATCTATACTGGTCATGTGACCCCGTTCTGGCCAATAAGATAAAAGGGGAAGTCTGATCAGGGATCCTGGGAAAGATGTTCATCCCTAAGGTGAATGCTCCGTCTACCTGCTTCCTGCTTTTAAACTTGGTTATGTAAGCACATGAAACATTTCACTGTGAGAGGCAGACAACCGCAAAGACACTGACCCAGAGCTCAGAGTTACGAAGCTGCTGACCTAATACCAGCAACGGTGTTAAGTGCTGGGGAGACAGTGATGAGCCAGCAATACATATCATCTCTGCCCCTCTGGAACATAGAGTCTGGTGGAGGGTAATGGTCAATGATCAAACACCACACAAGTAAGTATGAAATTACAACTGTGATAAGTGTTCTCAGAAGAGGAGTATGTTACTACACTAATAAATCATGGAGAAATGTATCTTCCTAATATTCCTATATCTAATCTGGGAGAGCCAAAGATGCTTCTCTGCAAGTGAGATGATGGATCACTGATCTGAAGGAAGGTTAGGAAATAGTTGGATGAGGGCCAAAGAGAGAAGGGTTTTAGGGGGATAGAATAGCAAATGCGAAGACCTTGGGCAAGAGGGAACACATGTTTGCTATATACACTACTCCTTATAAAATAGATAAATAACAAGGACCTACTGTACAGCACAGGGAACTACATTTGATGCCTTGTAATAACCTATAAAGGAAAAGAGTCTGAAAAAGAATATATATATCTCTGAATCATTTTGCTGTACACCTGAAACTAATACAACATTGAAAATCGACTATACTTTAATAAAATTAAATTTAGAAAAAAGAGGGAACATTGCAATTGTACTTTTATTTTTAAGATTACTTTTATTTGAGCAAAATTGCAAATATATGTATATATGTGTTTATAAGCTACATATGTGTATAAAACTATATATAGTTTTAAAAGTCAAATAATTACCTGGAGTACTAATATTGAAAATAATACTAGTTCATATTATTGAAAAATATCAATCCATGCCTCACTTCTCCCTACTTT